CTATAGAGGAAACGATTATCTGTAATTTAGCAATTGTAGTTAGACATGGTAGAATAGAAATAAAGTCCTTGTTGTCGTGAATGATGCAGAATAACCTCCTCGGTCTTGAAATGTTGTTTGAAATATAAAAGCCTCAGCTAACGCCTTGGCTTTTATCTTTCAAACAACATTTCTCGACCTCGGAGGTTATTCTGCAACATTCACGAAAATGTAGACTATATTTCTTAATTATTTTACACACACAAATTTAAAAAAAAAAATAACTTAAATAAGTTATTTTTATATCCTACTTGGACATTGATTTCTTGGAAATTTTGTGTTTCCTGCCAATTTGCATTGCATTTTGGGATTCCATTATGTAATACTAGATGTAGTTCACTGACTCCAATGGAGAATTGGTGAGGAGGTGGAGATAAACAGCATTTTACTCCTTATTTTGTGGTTTTATCCACATGGTGTATATGTCCAATTTTTATCATTAAATTAAAAAAATTCCCGACTTTTCTTAAGACTGAGAACACTTTTCCTGCATTGAGCAAGGTTTTAATTTAGTCAAACATTTGTTTTTGTCTCGGTGCACGAGCAAAATCCTTTGGTGCACGGGGTGTGAAGTTAGGGAGGAATGACACAAAATAATTTAAACAAGTTATTAATTCATTGAAGCTATTTTGGAAAAAAAACATGTTTTAGTTATTAAGGCTGGGAAAAAGTAGGTCATAGCAAAGAGAAGTAACTCATTGAGACAAAAAAATAACTCATTTGAGTTAGTTTTGAAAATAACTTGTTTAAGTTATGCCCCTGACTGAGTTAGGGGTAATTTGATTTAGCCTATCTCATAAAATTCTTCTTTATTTGCATATGCACGAGACATTTACTTCATTTAGCGTTGTACTTGAATTAACAGAAGTTGCTTTCTGCCAAAAGCGCTGAAAAGAATACACTGCCAAATGTAATATATGTTTACAGTAAATCCCCAACCATGTGCAGAAAAATCTTGCATCAGAATTTGCACATTATTATTTGCATTACGGATCTTAATTATTATGATCAAAGACTAAAATATAAAACCATAAGGCTAAAGTTCTGCAGCTAGGACTAACTGAGAACCCACATTTTGAAAATATTAAATTAAGTTGGAAATTTTCTTTATATTGAATAACTTTACTTTTCACTATTCATTATATAACTATCAGTTTGAAACAATATTTTTTAAGACTGTTTTCTTGTCTATGTGATATTTTTTTGTTTTTACATCAGAAGTTTTTTTGTTTTGTTTCACAAATAATGACAAAGACACTGAAATGTGTTGACAGGGAATGTTTGTTGTAAGTTTTGACAGTTCCCTTGTTATTGCGTTTGCTCTATATTCACAAAAAAGACAGACTATGGGATGTACAATCGTAAAGAATATGGAACGTGATACCAACTTTTTTATGCTGTCTTCTTCTCAGATAATATATAAGCTATATATTGACCTAAATAATTTGCATAATTTTGTTAGTACTGTAAGTTACATCTTTATTCATCATTCATTAGAGTGGAAAAGTTCTTATTTATATAACAGAAGAAAAAAATCATGTCATTTAAGTATAAAAAGATCTTTTAAAAAAAATCAAGAACTTTCACTACTGCTAGACATCTGATGTAATAAATCATCAAAAATATATAGATGATCTGAAAATGTTAACACTTACCGGTAATCAAATTTAATGCAGTTTACATTGATTAAGCATTGCAAGAGCCAAGAGATGCAAATAAATATATATTTTCATATATCAAGATAAAATATTGATTACCAATGTAAAAAAAAAAATTGCTATATATTTAAAATATTTTCACAGTATCCTTGACATGCATTCTGTTCATATGAATCAAGTAGAAGTCAATTTTCCCTTTTCCCCATAATGCGTCAATTAATATTAGGACCCAACTGTCATTTTATTGCAAACGCATGGACTCTGATGATACATGTATCCCCCTTTAGATTACTGCTATATTTATTGATGTTGTTTATGTTCAGCATTATTGTTAGGTCTTATAAGTTATATATATCATGTATATCATTAATGGCAAAATTGGAAATTTAAAATTTTGATCTGTTACAATCAAAACATTCAGTGATAGAACAATGTACTACCACGTTTGGAAAACATGGGATGAAATTCTCAAAAATTTTCAATCCACCTGAGCTGTTTTCAAAGCAAAGAGTGAATGTATGATCCAAAATCAACTATATTTCAACTCCCAAATACATATTGTTTGAAGTTCACATTAATATGAGATTTAGCTTATAATTTTAAGAATGCGAAAGATCATACAAGACAATTATTTTTCAGATGTTTGATTCTAGAAGGGGGGGGGGGGGGTTAAAAAATATATCAGGTCATGGCTTAACATGACAATATATTTTATTTCTAGGATTTTATGAGCTTTATAATTCTCACTGAAAACTGTTGGACAACTTGATAAATCGTCCAACCCCCCAACCCCCCACCACCACCAACACAAAGATATACATATATTTACCAAACAAAAATGAAAATATTTGTCCCTTAAATATCTATTCATTTAAAACACTGAACAAAAAATTCAAACTGTACCAAAATTGAAATTATTTGTCTTCTGGGTCAATCAGTAATGTGTCTAATATATGGATTGAAAATGAATTTCCATCTGCAATTTCAATCCCATGTTTTCCAAAGTATGAAAAAAATTGTCTATCACTGAATGTTTTGATTGTAACAGATAGAAATGACGTAAGCTGTATATTTCCGATTTTGCCAGTTAATGTTCCGCGGTCTTAATAATGAAATGATTTTTTTTAATTTTATTCATTCATATTAAACTCTAGTTTTCAAGCAGGTTAGTCCTAAATTATATTATCATGCTTATTTCATACTCTGCAAATTTTCATGAAAAAAAAAAATTAAAAAAGTTTAGACAGTATTATAAAAGAGTATAGTTATCATTAAAATGCATCATTCATATGCCAAGAAAGTCTTGTAGTGCATTAATATTTGCATAGAGATTTCTTAGATATATTCATACATGAAAGATAAGTCATTGTTGTGCATTATGTGAAGAAATTATCAAAAGTGTATGCATGTTATGAATATCATATGATGATATAAATTAAATTAGGTCTTCATTTTTGGATTGTTCCAGTCTAGGTATCATGTAAATGTGACATTTTTATGCACTGTGCACATGACTCGTATGTAAAGGGGTTTATGTATATACACTGATCTTTAGATAACAGATTCCTTCCTGTTTTGAATATATAGTCAGGCATGTCTTGAGTAGATATTAATCTCTTGCCTTTATGGACAAGCATTCGGTCAGACTTTGTGTCATTGTTCCCCGAGATTTTTGAGTCAGAAGTGATAACATTGATAATGTAGGTAGATAGGATTAAAGACTTAGTGTTACTAATCCATAGCGGGCCGGGCCCTGTTTTTCTTTTGGCTTTTCAATGGGACCTAATTGAAGGCAGAGAAAGTGGAGTTTTCAGATTATGATTTTTTGAAAAAATAATTTAATAAGCCTTCCTTTTTTTTTATTGAAGAGAATTTTATTACCTATTTGTACAGTGTTTAAATTTTTTATAATCAATATGTATCAAGGATACATTTAAACTGTACCTTAGTAGCACTGTCTGGAGATAGAATATAAAAGGTGGTTCTTTTATTATTTGTTTCTGTTGTACGATGAAATGCAAAGTCTGCAGATGTATGTATTGCACTATAATGCACCTGGTCATGTGACCAGAATTTCCCTTTTAGAAAGTCATCGATACTTTCATTTACCATGTAAATATGAAACAGTATTCCTTTTCCTATCATTGTGATCTCAATTCCTTTGGATTTATTTATGATATGAAGGAAAAAAACAACACAGGATTGTAAAACACAATGTTTGTCTAGCGAGATTTGAACCTTTATATGGAGATCTTGTGTTTTGGGACATGTCGTTTGATGTTCCCTGTCACAAGACATTCCTACAGGTCTAAACAGAGCTTTTCTCATACATTAGTGTCGAATAGTGGCAACATACAATACACAGCTCCATTTATCACGCAGGACAAATCAAGCTTCAAATATATATTGACTTCAAACGGGCTCGATTTCTAAACATGTAAATATTATATTAAAGGTAATGTTCTGTGTCGAGTTTAGATGAAAAAAAAATTATCCACCAAAAAACATTTACTTCTGAAGTATGTATCTTTTTTTTTATATATATATATATATATCTGTATCTTTGCATATGCATTATACCTAAATAAAAATGGAAGTGAAAAAAGATTGATGATATATTTTCTTTAGGGAAGTTATTTCCTTCATTTATTATTCCCGAAAAAAAAGTTTGTTTGATATAGGCATTTACAGATAGGTGGTAGGATAAACAAGTAATTTATTAAAGGTGTTTTCACGAGCTATAGGTGTATACCTAATAATAAGTGAAAGTATAGACAGGAGTTATTAGACAAGTTCATTAGTGTCCTACGGACCTCTTACTGCCTGCTGGAATTAAATTCTTTTGGGTAGGACCTTTTCTTCTCTTATACAACATTAATTACATCAGCTATTGTTGTAAAAGCCCATATAAACATTTCCTTTTAATTTCATTAAATGTCTGCACTTGTTCAACATTGTTCATTTTGTGTTAGGAATTTTAAGTATTGAGAGATGTTATTTTCACTGAAAGGTAATGAGATTTTCTTTATGGTTGTTTTGAAATGACATGAAAACTAATTTTATATTAAAAAATGCAGTTTTAAACGCTCTTGTTTGCATTGTTTGCCAACATGTTCAAATCTTTTACTAAAATGAGTTGTTCAAAAATTCAGTCATAAATCTTGGCATGATAATGCTTTCACTAATGTAGATAATAGACATGTGTAAACAGACACATATGCTTCAAATTTAAGTTTCAGGTAGTTAATTGTTTGATTACAAGAACATATGAACTAAAACTTAAAAGATTTTATTTATTTTCAGATTTAACCATGTATCCACATTTGGGGCCTCAGGCCAGTCATCCAAAAAGACGGAAAAAGAGGCCGATCCATGGAATGAAAACAGTGGACGTGACCAGGGGGAAATCGGGGTATGGCTTCACCATATCAGGACAGCATCCATGTGTTTTGAGTGTGATTGTTCCAGGAAGTCCAGCGGATGTGGCCGGACTAAAGACGGGAGATTATGTGGTGTCGGTAAATAATCAGAACGTCACTAAGTACCCTCACGACGATGTGGTACGCATGGTGGGGATATCCACGGGAACGCTCACCCTTCAGGTGGCGGAAAATTACAACAGTTCCGATTCCTCAGACGATGAGTATCACCACAGAAACAAAGCCAGGTATCCGAATAGGGTTCGCCCGCGTCACGCCTCTAGTCGCAGTGAGAAAATTCTCGGAGAGTGTAACCAAAAAGACAAGCATGCCCACAATGAATACAAACACAAGGATCCTCATTGGTCAAAAAGTGACTTGAAACTAACACAGGGCCAATCAAGAGTAAGGTTACATGAGCCAGTCGGTGCTGAAAATGTTTATTCCAGTTCATCCAGTTCTAGTCTGAGTACACCAAAACTTTCACGACCTTTATTGGTTGAAAAACACGGATACAAAACCTATGATCCTCTTTCTCTGCAGCTTCCCAGAACCAAGCAAGCAGTCGTCAAGAGTACATCCCAGAGTGCAAAGTCCTCACAACAAACCAGTAGCCAGCACGACAGACACATGAAATCACAGTCAAGTGGGACATTACATGGGTCCTTCATAGCACCTGGAATTTCATCTTTCCTGAAAACGTCTGCTCATCAAGCAAACTCGGCAAACAATGCCTTCATCGCCATGGACGATGACGAGGAAGATGGCGATGACGAAGAGAGTCTGCTGAATTGTAGCTTTCACGACATGCGGGTGGTTGTGGGTTATATTGGTTCTATAGAAATGCCTAGCGATGCCAATAAACCTCACATCAGACTTCAGTCCATCCGCAATGCTGTAAGGAGACTGAGAGTGGAGCAGAAGATCCACACACTGGTTTTAATGGAAATCTCACAGGAAGGAGTGAAGCTGACCAATGGAATGGGAACCACTGTGGCTCATTATCCAGTGGAGAGGCTGGCCTTCAGTGGAGTGTGTCCTGATGACAAGAGGTTTTTTGGGATCGTGACTCTTCACAGTGTCAGTGGGGATGAGATGAGTGATGGAACTGCTAGTCAGGAGGAGGAATCTGCCTCCAGTGGGTCCTGTCACGTCTTCATGGTTGACCCTGAAATGAGGTTCCATAACATCCATGCTCAAAAAGCCAAAACTTTTGGCATCACCTGCACCACAGCTCCCGATCGACATCACCAAGAGAGAAGCCATTGTTCAGAGTTTCCTAGATCTGCCACCCCCATCATTGTCTCCATAACCAATCTGTACAAAGATCGTCCTGCTGGTGTAAACGACAATGAAGTGGCCTTATCTCAGGCCTTTCGCTGATCCTTCCAGAGAACCTAGAAGAAGCATCAGTAATAGCAGCAACAGTGACAGCGGACTTGGTCTGGGCAGACATGATCCTGGTCGTCTGCATGGAGCAGAAGCAGGGGCCCAGCAACCAGGAAACCCAGCCCCTAATCCTCCCCAAGATGTCTGGCAGAATCCTAGCTTCCCTCTGGTGGACGGTCCTGTCCAGCATTGTTCACCTGGAATACAAACCTTGCCAACACCATTACGAGACTCCCAGCTGATGCCAGCCCCCTCTAGTGTGTTCAGAAGACTGAATAGGTCTAACAGTAGTGATGATTGCTCAACATTAAACAGACAGAAAGACAAGTTCAATATAAGAGCCATGCCAGACCCACTCAATACATCAAGATTAAGGGCCTCCCACAAGGGGAATAAACCTTACCAACCCAATGACAGTGATCACGAATCAAACTCCTCCAAAAATAGTGACATGTTTCGCTCTTTTTCCCACAATGACTTGCAGCGACCTTTATCTGTTCCTCCCAGAACTGCAGAAGATAGCTTCACAACCCCTCTCAACAACAGCAAAGTGGAGAAAGTGGAAATGGAGGCCAACAAGAAGTTGAGTCCTCGAGCACATCTTCCACCCTTCCACCAGCTGCGTTCTCCTTCCGCTCCACCCACTGTTCATCAGCAGAACGATTCAGATGCGGAAGATTTCGATTTTCCGCACAACAGTAGTGGAATGGGGGGCCTGATTGAACGGTTTGAGCAGGACCACGCTCTCAGAATTTCGTCTCCTGCTGATGTGACCAGACGCTACTCCGAGGGTTACTCTCTTGCTATCAAGGTGAGCAGAATTTTAATGGTTTTACATTTCAGGCCAGAGAAAAGTTTGTCTACAGAGACATGAGTTGAATATACATCTCCTGAGAAGCGGTGCAAGAGAATTTTTAAACATGTATGAAGGTAGGATACATTTGTGTAAACAGTGATTTTTCTACAATTTTTAAAAGGGGCCTGGGCCTTTTCAATTGGGAAAAATTATCGACATTTGTGTCAAATTGGGAAAAAAACAATAAGATTGTAATTAACCTTCATATTGACAAGTAAAATAAAGTATATTAGTAATTGTAATACATGTATCATTTATTAAATTTATTTGCTACAAAATTTTTCAACAAAATGGACACTGCAGTTCCTCATTTTTAATTTTCTTTCATTTTCGTTGTTTGATTGTCCTATATTCTATTTTTCGCCGTATTGGTAGACTTAATTGAGAAAAAAATCATTCCCGATTTCTCGTTATTGCTCGCATTGGAGATGGAATAATCTTGACACGATTTACAAGCATGTATTGCTGTGTTTCTCTGCAATGCTAGTATCTGCAGGATGAAGAAACAGTTTAATTTTCGTGAAATCAAGGAAGCTTGTTGTAGAACTACTAGTACTTGCAATTTACAAATAAAGCTATATTTAACCAATTCACATGCATATTTAAATTTCTAACATGTATTGACACACAAGTTTGACATCCACAAGCTCCTTCCATATGATCGATGTTTTTTTTCAAAGTCTTGCAAACACATAAATAAACTGCTGTTTTTCGTCATTATTTTAAGCGTCCAAATGACAAAAAACAATAGCGTTCCATTTTAGATAAGTCGTACGTAAAAAAATTCAAAATAACCAAAACATACGTTTTGATTTTGGGGAAAAAGCAGTTGAAAATTGGGAAAAAATCTGTAATTTTTGAGAGGGGAAAGGGCCGATATTTGGACCTAAATTGAGTGTAGAAAAATCACTGGTAAATATACACAGTGTACATACAAGGTAAATCATGTATGCACTTTTATGTACCAGGAAAACAGAACTGGCACCATAGTGAAACTGCAATTTTGCCGTCTCCACTTGGAGTTGATATTTTGTCACTTTCAAACCGAATTTTAATGGCAAACTCAATTTATCAACAGCACAATGCATCTAGTGCTCACCAATATTGATGAAAAGAAAATATCACTCCGCATTTCGTTACAGGACTAGCAGAATTTTAAAATGCACTAATTGAAAACAAAACTTGAAAGCCAGAAAAAATGTTTTCATCAGATTGTATATTTTGTAAACGAGCCATAAAAACAATGTTGGTGAGCACTATAAGTACAATGTAGTATTGATAAGTTGTCAATTTGACATTTGATACGGTTTCGCAAGCGTATCAAAATCTGACATGAGAATTCCCCTTCCAGTTGGAGGTGGCAAATTTCCAGTTTTCTTGGAACCATTTCCAACATTTTCCAGGCACTTAATTTAAACATCGAAAGTGTGAAAAAGCCAGGAAAATTACATATATTTTGGACTATGTTACTGAAGGGACTACTGCCTTATGCTTCTGAAACAAAAGCTGCTATTCTTTAGGTAATGGGCATCACAAAGAAATTTTCTAAAATAAGAGGCTAGAGTTAAAAAAATTGTTTTCTGACACCTCTGCCAATATTTCCATGCATTGCATTGATGTTGTGTAAAATTGCAATATTTTGTTCTTCATTGTTTCTATAGTTATGTTCCCCAAACGAAGTTGGGGAACATATTGTTTTTACTCTGTTTCTTATTATTATGTTCCCCAAACGAAGTTGGGGAACATATTGTTTTTACTCTGTTTCTTATTATTATTATTCTTATTATTTTTCTTCCTGGGAAAATTTTGTCCGCGAGTGATCTTGTAAACTACACATCCGACTTAGGTGAAACCTTTTTAGGGTAAGTAGGCATGTTATGTAGATTTGAATCAAGGTCATTTTGCGCGCACGTGCTTGCAAGAGCGCGCACGTGCAAAACTTAAAATAACCAATATATAATGGATATAACCGCAACTTTTCTATTTTGTGACGAAATGTTTTGAAACTTATAATGCAAGGATATATTACTAGTATGCACAAGATGACATGGTCAAAATAGCAAGATCGCACGCGCATGCACGTGCGCTTCGCTCTGATTGGCTGAAACTAAAGTCTCAATATCTTTTTTGTTTTTTGATAAAATCATTTGAAATTTTGAACATAGTCATACATTAGGGAGATCTACAGCCTGTAATATAAGATTTATCATGGAAGCATGTGCATGCACATGTGCTTGCAAGAGCTCGCACGTGCAACACGATAAATGTCCAATATAATTGATACAGACGTAACTATTTGAATTATTGATGAAATGCTTTGAAACTCATATTATAAGTATATATTAGAAGCATAGACAAAATGACATGGTCAAAAAAGTAAGATCTCACGCGCATGCACGTGCGCTTCGCTCTGATTGGCTGAAACTAAAGTCTCAATATCTTTCTTGTTTCTTGTCATAATCCTTTGAAATTTTGAACATAGACCAACATTATAAAGATCTACAGCATGATATATAAGAATTTTCATGAAAGCATGCGCATGCCCGCGTGTTGCAATCTGATTGGCTGAAACTTTAAATGGCTATATCTCCTTTGTTTTTTGACGAAATGCTTTGAAATTTAAAACATAGCCATGCATTAGGATATCCTACAGTATGATATAGAAAAAAAATCATGAAATCACGCGCATGCACGTGTGCTGCAATCTGATTGGCTTAAACTTGAAATGGCTATAACTCCCTTGTTTATCAACCAAACTGGATGGGATTTAGAATATAGATAGATATAAAAGACTTCTACAAGAAGGTATGGTCATCATGCACGTGCACGCACGTGCGTGCATTTGGAATGAGTGAAATGAAAAATACCCTTGAAAGAGTGATTTTTCTTACTTTTGGACTGAATGCTTTAATATATTGTATAGTAAAATATGTAGATAGTGTAGACAAGATGATATGATCATAACGCACATGCATTCACATGCGCACGGGTGCAATGCTAAAATTTTAATATAATTTTATCCTTCTGAGAAAACGTTGTTAAAGTCAAAAATGCACAGACTTTGTCTTATTTAATGAAGCTTACAGGGAATATATGGCACCAAAAAGGAGTTGGGGAGCGTTTGGGGAACATACGGTTCCCGTTACAATTAGCACTAGTTATTATTATTATTATTATTTTTCTTCTTCCTGGGAAAATCTTTTCCGCGAATGATCTCGTAAACTACACATCCGACTAAGGTGAAACCTTTTTAGGGTCAGTAGGCATGTTATGTAGATTTGCGGAACGAAGGTCATTTTGCGCGCACGTGCTTGCAAGAGCGCGCACGTGCAACACGTGAAATGACCAATATAATTGATATAGCCATAACTTTTCCATTTTTTGATTAAAGGCTTTGAAACTAATAATATAAGTATATATTAGTAGTATAGACGTGATGACATGGTCAAAATAGCGAGATCTCACGCGCATGCACGTGCGCTTCGCTCTGATTGGTTGAAACTAAATTCTCAATATCTTTCTTGTTTTTTGACAAAATCTTTTGAAATTTTGAATATAGTCATACATTAGGGAGATCTACAGCCTGATATAAAAGAATTATCATGAAAGCATGTGCATGCACGTGTGCTTGCAAGAGCGCGCACGTGCAAGGCCAAAAATGTCCAATATAATTGATACAGACGTAACTATTTAAATTTTTGATGGAGTGTTTTGAAACTTATAATATAAGGATATATTAGAAGCATAGACTAGTAGACATGGTCAAAATAGCTAGATCTCATGCAAGATCTCATGCGCATGCACGTGCACCTCGCTCTGATTGGCTGAAACTAAAGTCTCAATATCTTTCTTGTTTTTCGACAAAATCCTTTGAAATTTTGAACATTGTTATACTTTATGAAGATCTACAGCATGGTATATAAGAATTATCATGAAAAGTATGCGCATGCACGATTGCTGCAATCTGATTGGCTGAAAATTTAATTGTCTATAACTTTCTTAGTTTTCATCGAAACGGGATAAAATTTAGAATATGAATAGGTATAATGAATTCCTACATAATGGTACTATCAAAATTGAATGCACGAACATTCATTCATGCAGGTGCATATGCAAAATGGCCAAAATACATTAAAATGTATATTGTAAAGATTTTTTTTTTATCTATTCTCGCGATCTATTGATATGTTAATTGTCTAGACAACATGCCGTGATCATCTTACATGTACATGCACGTGCGTGCACGTACAATGCGTCTTACAGGAATTAGCACAAAAAGGGATTTGGGGAGCGTTTGGGGAACATCTGTAACGGTCCCCGTTACAATTAGCACTAGTTATTATTATTATTATTATTATTCCTGGGAAAATTTTGTCCTTGAGTGATCTTGTAAACTACACATCCGACTAAGGTAAAATGTTTTTAGGGTCAATAGACATGTTATGTAGATTTGCCGAACAAAGGTCATTTTGCGCGCACGTGCTTGCAAGAGCGCACACGTGGAACATGTAAAATGACCGATTTAATTGATATAGGCGTAACGTTTTTAATTTTTGATGAAATGCTTTGAAACTCATAATGTAAGGGTGTATTAAAAGCATAGACAATATGACATGGTCAAAATAGCAAGATCTCACGCGCATGCACTTGGGCTTTGCTCTGATTGGCTGAAACTAAAGTCTCAATATCTTTCTTGTTTTTTGAGGAAATCCTTTGAAATTTTGAACATAGCCATGCGTTATGATATCCTACAACATGATATATAGAAATTATCATGAAAACACCTGCATGCACGTGCGCTGCAATCTGATTGGCTGAAACTTTAAAAAGCTATAACTCCCTTGGTTTTCAACCAAACAGGATGGGATTTGGAACATAGATATATAAAATGGACTTCTACAAAAAGGTATGGTCACCATGCACATGCATACACGTGCGTGTACGTGAGCTGCAAT